GTTTTTAGGTTATGTGAAAAATTTTTGTATTCCGTCATAACTAAAAAAATATTATGTTAATATTCTATATACAAAATACATTTAAGACCTTTTTTAATGGGAACGAGTAAGTATTATTATCTGTGTAAGTATTAAATTAATAACATTTCATAAATTCCATATCCATATCCATTTTCAAAAGGGACATAAATATAGGTAATATTTGTGATATATTTTTTAAATTTAGTTTTAGATTTAGTTTAATTAAGTAATTTTCTTCATGTGTTAATATTTTCTGTCGATAAATAAATACAATTTAAGCCAAATAGAAAAGAAGCAGGAAAAATATTTTTATAACCTTATCATATTCTTTATATTTGATAACCTTAAAAATGGCAAGTGAGGAATAATTTTTCATCCGTGAATCATTAGTTGAGTGAATACTCCAAAAAATCCAAATGAAACATCACCAATATACTTAGTCTACTCTACAATACTTTTGCTTAGGTATTCACTAATTTAGTTACCAACTGCTATTTTTTTTAAATTGGTTGAAGTGAAAACAAACGTCATAACGTTAAAATAGTTAATGATTAATTTTATTATTATTTAAATGTGATTTAACTAATGGAGAGTGCTCTAAACTCAAAAAAGATGGCATAGTTTTACAAAGATTCCATCGATAACAAAGATTTTACAGAACTGGTACGCTAGGTTTAATTTACGAGGTGCCTCTTGCTTCAAGATGACACGTTAATATATTTCTTAGATCGACAACACATTATTGTTGTCTCTCATTTGGATACACTCAAGTGTCCTAGAGACCTTATCTCTTTCATTGACAAAATATTGAAATAACAACACAAGAAAGCGATGTGCACGAAGTCATGAGGCATTTTCATGCCAAAATTTTGAAAATTTTGCACAAACGACCATATATATATAAGAGAATGTTAACATTCTCGAAAATTTTCCCTTAAACTTAGATATAAGTGGTGCTTCGCAGTTGCAAATATTTCTACCACACTCGGAAAGTAGGGGTTACACAAGTTTTTGTGAGGAAATAAACACTGTCGTTTGATTATACAATAATTCAAATGGCAATTACGTTGTTCAAAAAAATTACTACCGATTTAGCATTTGTCGTTTATATGACAGCTTTCGGCTTCATAAAATGCCAGTGTATCTATTTACTTATGATACAAACAAAATAGGTTAAAAATATGTGTATTTCTTTAGTTTCAGAACAAATTGCTTCTTCGGAATATTATAAAAATTTGGGAACCATTAACAAATAACTTATAATTTTAAAAACAGAATATTATTTGTTCTATTTTCTACTCTGAAAAATACCGGAAGTAAGGACATCAGTTTCAATAAACACTAGGGCACGACTGCCACAAAGGTAAAGATAGTGAACAAGGCGTATGATTGGACTAAAACTCCTTTGTAGCGTGAGTAGAGCAATTGCAATCAGCAACCAAAAATGATGAAGAGATATACCAGGAAAAAGGCGACCAACGAATTGCTTTGAGTTTCATCGGGTAAATTTATAGCAGACCTGTTAAGCCACAAAAGAAAGGCCATAAGAATAATGGTACATTTACTGGCGGCCCCCGGCCGGCTCTAAGACGCAGAATAGAAGAATGCAGATTTTGCCAAAAATAAGAGGAAACAGCCAGATACTTATTATGGCAAAGTGACGCGCTATCGAGAGAGTGTATCCATCTATTAACCAAATCAGAGGCAACGAGCTACACCAAGGAGCCACTATCGAAGCTGCGGAGTCTCATCTGAAAGACAAACCTTGATAAAACTCTATAGCTATGGAGACTGTCATAATCAATACTTTGGGTCGGAGTGACGGCTAGGCCAATTGTTAATTCTCCCAAATTTTGAATCTCGAATAAGTGTTTTGCAACAAATGAGGGAGTTCCACCAAAATGTACGTTAAACTTTTAAATACGTATTCGCTACTAATATGACGGTAGAATACGATGATTCGCAAACATAGTTGCCCAATACGAATCTTAAAATATATCTCAAAGTTAGCTAAACAGAGTTTAGTAAACAACGACCATTAACTTCGTCGAATAGAGTATATGAAATTAAATTTATATTAGCAGACTATCTTATTAATGTTGCCGTGTGCATATATATTATTTAATTAATTAAAATGTTGTAGTGTCTGCCCACTTCCTGCGGAACCTCAAGAACATTGCGCGGGCATTATCTATGGGAAGATAAAACATGCAAGTCTAGTTATCTGATGATATGTTCTTGAAATTAATTATGTTGTTATCTTTAATTTAGCGACCTACTGTGGCAAATTAATTCTAACCCGTTTTTTGTTGGTACCCTAAAACAGCTCACAATTGATTTCAAGAAAAAAAATTACATATTGTTGAGTTACATTGAGTTGAGTGACTTTTTTTTGGTAAATTTGAACCCATTTTTTTAAAATAATTTAGGATTATATACCGAGTTTCCCATTAAGTGGGTAAGAAGTACTGTATTAGGCAAGTCAACGGTTCAAGAAAATTGCAAAAAAAGTAAATCAAATTTATTATTAAGACTTATTTTTTCAATAAAAATTAATTGATTGATCTCGATAAAAATAAGATGTTATATTTTTTCTTAAGTGGTATTCCACATGTTACCACGGAAATACGTCGTTGGTAATAAAACTAATTAGCCCCCAACAATTGATTAGTGGCCTAGTGATTACACTACATTTTTGAAAGTAATAAAAGCTACGAGGTAATTTGCTGCCTTTCGAAAGTATTGCAAAATAGTTAATAAAAATAAACAGCAAAATTGTATTGCATATGTATATGTAAATGTAAATGTAAATGTATACTTACATATAAATGTATAATAGAACATTAATAACCCGCAAAGTGATTTTACGTTAAAACATATTTTGCGATCATGTCAGAAAAAGCCATTCTGGTGGTGAGGTAAGTAATCGCAATCACCTCATTCATAGCAATGGCCTAGAAAAGACCACCACCTTTCCAGATAAAACAAAGAGGCGTTTCATAAAATATATTTGAATTTTTCTCATTTTGAAAAATAAAGATGGCAATTTCGCCTATCGGCGTTTCGACTACGGGTGACCATGTCAGAACCTTGAAAACCATTTTCACCATTTTTTCTTGGCTGATTTACTTAATAAATTGTTTTTTCGAATTTCTAGGATTGGCCGTATCCCTAATACCCTTACCGGGACACCCACTACGTGTATAATCCTAAACTGGCTCTTAACTTGCTTATTTAATATAAAACATATTTTTCTCATTATATATACCCAAGTTTCACAGGTCAGACGTTTGTTGTGAACGAGGCTTTACGAATGCCCAGCATAGCATAAATTTTATATTAATTTAATTAATTTAATAGGACACACTATATTATTGAAGTTTCCGTTCGGTAGACCTAACTTTAGCGGTTTTCCAGAATTTAATTTCTTTATTTTATATTTGAATTTGAAGAGAGCTGAAGTCTCATACAATAGTTTTATGAAGACAGTAGACTCTTGTCATACACAGAGGCTCAAAATGTGCTATTTATCTGTGAAAACAAAGTATAGTACTTGAACTGAGGTGGCTTTTACTTGATGAAAATCCATTTATCAAAATAAATAAGAACTAAAAGTTCTGATTTTCACGAAATTAAATATTATGACATGACAATTGTTTCAACAACACCGTGCTTTATCACATTTGATATCAATATTTAATTTCGTGAAAATCTGAACTTTTAATTCTTATTTATTTTGAAAGTACAGTACATTATGCACCAGTCATGAGTTTAATAAACAAGTTTATCAACGTATGCACAGGTATTCTATACTCGGTATAGCTTTTCTACAACCACTCGTTTGTGGGTACATTTTTTCAAAACAACACAAATACATTCGCCGAGCGCCGTGTGACGTGACGGTCAGAATTGACAAACGTCAACACAACATAGCTAAAATCTACCGGAAACATCCGATTCCTCTCAAACCCGTGACTAAAGTAAATGTTAGAACTCACTCGTGTCCAAGCGTCATTCTGCAAGCTTGGTCAGTGCATTATTGGGTATTTTGGAGTAGTGAGTAGAAAAAAGTCGTTGTAACCATTATAATGAAATAAAAAATATGTTTCTTTTTAAAGAAAACTGTAGACGTAGACCCTAAACTAATCAACCAATAAATTAAAACGATTTATCCAACCAGTGGCTGTTATTTCTATTCAAAAGGTTAGAAATGTGATTCCCCGTCGATGCTTAAAAATCAAAAAGGATTGCATAATAATTGTTGAGAATTATAGGTGATGAATAATTTTCTCTTAGTTTTTTTTGCAGGCTCCACAGTGGTCCAGATCCACCGTGTGCGATCGCACTTCCAATTGTTATACAGTTTTTGAATTAAAAATGCAGATTGTATTACGAATAGATAATAAGAAATAAACAAATTTCAGAACTACTATTTTAATATTATATAAAAATATCTTTTTACTTGCTTGGAATTGTTTCCAATAATATTTATAAAAATAGGAATATAGTTTTTTCAGGTATAATATAAAGTAGGTACCTAATTACATGGTGTTATTAGTAAAAATAATGGAAACCTTTTAAATGATACTTAAAATCAAAAATATGATTTGCTAAATAGACATACACTTTTGGAACTGGTGGTTATCTAGTTTACTGATGATGCACTGTGCACTATACCGTGTCAAATTTGAAAATGGCTGACCCGGAGTTCATCTTCAGAACCTTTAGCTATTTCACGTAGCCGAAGCGTTCAAAACAACTGGACCCTTTACGTATTTTCGTTTTATTTACATTTCGTTACGTTGGGTTAAGTACTTCGCACATTTAAATAGGTGGGTATTACTTTTTTTTTATATACGTATTTTTTAAATTTTGCCAAATTTCAATTTTATTTTCGCAGTGATTGCCGCGTGCTCTAACGATTTAGTTTGATATCATTATCCATAATCGACCGTATACATAATAATATAATCACCTACCTGCACTACTTTCCCCCGCAGATGAGTCGAAGGTCTTAGAAGTCATCTGGAACAGAGCATCCAACGGTGTAGCACCCGGTTGTTTTCCTTGCTGTTGCTGGTGTTGCTTTTGCCTCTGTACCGAACTCACTAGCTCAGGAGAACAGCAATCGCTAGCGACGCTAGACGATCTATCACTGCCGGTCTCTGAAGTGTAACTCGCGTTAAACGCGGCAAAGTCCGGCCTCAGAAAGGCCAGCTGCTGATGCACTTTGAATTGTCTGTGTAAAGATTCCAGTCTCTGTTGGTGCACTTCGATGTCGGCAGGGTCTATGTCCCACGGGCGCACTATTCTAGTACACTGAGGTTTTGTCGGTTTGTGGTTCAAAATATCCGCTATAGAGAAACTTTTAACACCTTCTTGACGCTCCTCTACGTCGACTGTGGGCGACAATCGTCTATCGCATTCCACCATTTTGAGTTGCTTCAACGGTTTGAAGTAGTCCTCTTGGTCTGAATCAGTACAACGTCGTTTACTACATCTGGGGCTGCTTTCCCGGGACGTTTGGTAATTCGGTGAGATCTGCATCGCCGGACTAGGACATCCGACACTGATCTCGTCTTCTGAGGCGTATTTGCTCGATTCATCAATCGCTTGGTCCATTAAGGGACTCGGCGATCTAGACGAAATAGGGCTTTGATATTTCGAGCCTAAATATGGCGACATCTCGTTACTGAAGCTCTTAGATGAAACCGTATCTAAATCCTGCATCTCCCTTGCGTCAATAGTCCCACATTTTGCACTATTGCACTCAAACTAATACGAAAATCTCCGAAATCTATAATTAGGCCGTACTGCAGTAATTAGCGTCAAAAACTACACAGATTTGTATACGCATCATGCCAGCTGGGTAGCTTGTAACAAGTGAGGCAACGATCTGCATCGACAGCGGCTCCTTAGCAAGTCCGACCTACCGTTTAACTTTCCAGCCAATAACATGGATGCCGGAAACGGCTTGGGCTTCGGACAAAAGGTGATCCGGCTCGTTATTGGTCGTGGGCGGAGCTTTGGCTCCTCCGTCGACTCACCAATCATCTGTCCAATTTGTACATTGCCGTTTCTATAATTTGTTCTGAAGGGGAGATAGATGGGATTTTGTTTTAGTGGAATATTTAACATGTGCTTAATGTAAATTATTCTGGTTTACGAGTTTTTACACTTTAACTTCTTTATTGCTCAGAGTGTAAATTTTCGAGCTGTTTATTAGAGTTGGCGGGCAGTGAATTAATTTGTTGACTTTATAGTTTTTTGTCCACATTTTGTGCCTTAAGACATCGGGGGATATTCAAATCGTGTTTTGCTTGGTCTGAAGCCAGACTTTGATGTCGCTTTAGTACCTTGTTTTTTCGTAGTTGAGGAAGCGATTTATATATAACCAGAGCATTATCTATCGTCAGCAGGTTTGAGATCACTCGTCCCTGGAGTACTTCGATATTAACAATACGCCTTTTAACAATGATATTCTTGGCTCTTTTTCGTTGTTTTTCTATAATTTACATTGACTGTCATTGCAGATGATAACAGCGTCATTACTTCGATACTGTATATGTATGCTGTTAATACCTACGAATTTTTCGTTAAAATTAATAAAATTGGCGAAAGGAAATCACAAACAACACAATGACTACACAGATCATGTATTGAATTGTAGTATAAAATAAGTAAATTCCCCGATATAAATATTATTTATTAATTTCCTATGCATTATAAACCTGCAGGCTAATCTTTCCAACTTTATTTGTAAATTTACATTAAAATTGTAAATTCGTCTTGTATATCACATTACGTCATTACTGAATTGCTGCATCTGGAATTATATAAGAACTAAGTATACGTTTGAGTACAACATTATATATCAGACGCGAAACAACTATATATACTACATATATGTAAAAATTACAAAGTCGTCAAGAAGCTTCTAATATCTGCTGTACCTAACTTTTCTGTTAATCTGTTGTGAAGGTTTTGGGAATTTTGTTATTATTTTTAAATAATAAATAGTTGAGTTCAGGCAATTGCTAACTGGTAACTGAGTGAAATGCCGCAGCGGCTGAGGTAACCCTTTTCAAAAATTTTAAATCCATGTCACTTTCACTAACACCATTTGTGTTACGCATGGTGTATGTGTCGTTCTTAATTTTTCTTAAACATTTGTGAAATCTAGACTGTAACTATTTTTCACCCCTTACAAAGCACTAGTTTTCTATTTCCTACTCTGATATATTCCAATACGCACTGATGAATAAGCGTGCACAAAGTGATTTGTTCGTAATTGTTGCCAATTTTTAGTTTATACTTTTTTGAATTCATGACATCTGGGACATCTCCACAGATTTTTTGAAAATATACGACCCAAAGCAGAAAAGAAGAATAAAGAACTGAAAAATAATTGGATAGACACACTTGCATTATTGCATCGTATTACCGCACGGGTTTGGGAGCAATCGGATGTTTTCGGAGATAGTTCCCACGCTTTGAATTTTGACTTTTGTCAATTCTGACGATCACGTCAGTGAATGTATTCGTGTTGATTTGCAAACATGTCCCCAAAAACTAAGATACAGAAAAATGTTATGCAATACAATTTAAATACTACGTGCTATAAGCTACAATTAAAATCTAGTGGACTAGTCGGAAAGTAAAGTGACATTTATAATTTAAGTTTCCCATGGAAATTGTACATGCCGTTCGCATGAACTTAAGTGGTTTTTGCAATTTCTATATTAATATCTTGCCAAGACCAATTGTACGATTTTCAAATATCCATGTTTCATCAGTACAAACAAACCAAAATTGAAGCTTGGATTGGATTGGATTTACTCCTAATGGCCACGACTACATTAGGTCATTCGGTCAGCTTACAAGTCTGAACATAATTCAAAAATCCTAAATGATTCCTTCCTAATAGAAGGGTCATCCTCAAGGTTATTTAACATATACAAAATGTAATTTCAACAAAAAAAAGGTTCTCTGACCGATAGCAAGAAACGGCCTCCCCGCTTCCCTCGGGGACCATCCGGGCCCATCCGGCCTCTATATCGGCGAGAGCAGGAAAAAACAGCAGGGTCGACAACGATTACAACTTTAAAAGATTCACTTGCCACTAAAAATACTTAATCCACGCAGTGGAAACCGATTTTAAAATTTTTGAGGACAATTGCAAGGAATTCTGTCGGGAGCGAACGGAGTCTAAACCGCCATGCGCAATGCTCACGACAGAATCAAACTTGAAGGTTGGGTCCTGCTTTTTCTTGCTTATAGGATCCTAAAAAATTTAATCCTTTTCTTTTTCTCTCAGTAAAGTACTTAATGATCAATTGTAAAAATTAAATAAACAACATACGTTTTAAAATTGGGTTTATTCCATTGTTTATATGATTTATTCAATAATACATCTCACACAGTTAATAAGAGACAACAATAGCAGAACCGATCGAAACGATAAGCGAATAGGTGTAATGGCAACTAGTAAATATTTTGTTTGAATGGTATGATAATAATAATAATACTAACGATAATCTGTTATTATTTTTAATTTGTTAAATTGTAATTTTTTCGTAACGTTCGTAGGAGAAGTATGGTATGCAACAGGTTTGGTAAACTCTTTATTGCACTCGTTTATTAAGCACTCGCTCCGCTGCGCTCCGCTCGTGCCAAATAAACTCGTGAGTCAAATGCCGTATATTATTTCAAACAACGAATTTAAAGGTAACAAAACACATGGATGCATGGACCAGCCAAACCAGTACACGGGTAAGTTGATCCGAATTATTTTATAAAAAAATGTTATCATTAAAAAGGCGTCTATTAAACGAGACTGCAAAAATTCCGATATAGTCTTCAAAAATAAAGTTGATGATAGTTTTGGTTAGTTTATATATATACTGTGTGTTTTGCTACTATGATGATGATACTAGGGCAGTCAATTTTCACCGCATCAAAAGCCCAAATTGACGTGGACACGAACAACTTCGCACTGGATTGCCAACTGTCGTTTTTGTCGCAAAGAGAAGCCGAAGAGTTATAGGATAACGTGACAACCCCGGCTAATGGGATTAGGGTTATTGATTACGCCTGGGTCCTTTATAAAAGGAAGTAATCTGTTAGAATTAAATGATATTGCCTTCGGCGAGAAACCCGAACGCGATCGGAATTTCAATTCACCGCAGTACCTACCTATAGGATACAATTCGGTCCATTCGGTATAATTACACATGTAAATATCATGTTATAGCCGAGTCCATTTGACCAAAAACAAACGCGCTTTGTTCACGAATTTATGGGTTGGTTAGATATAATTAAGACATCCAGCAAGCTGAGGAAATATGTTGCTGTCAAGTTATTTTTTTACTTACTTTACTTTTTAAAAGGGGTAACAATTTGCCTGCCTTTTTTGCGACAAAGGGTAGGTTGAACTCTAAACATTTATTTAACATCGAGACTCATATAACTTTATCTAAGAAGTAATAATTGGACAAAAAGTCAACCAACAACATATGCATGTTGAATGCATTTTTTCAACATTTTTTTCATAGTTCGTAAGTTTCTGTATTGTCAGCTATAAACGGAGCCTCTATACCCATGGTTCGATCTGAAGATAGAATAAATGTGCCTGGTGCCGCTATGGCAACAACAATCTCTATTTTTTTTAAGACATCAGAATCCACGGATATCCTGACCAGTTTCAGTAACAAACCCTCTGAAACTCTTCCTGAAAAAAAATGCGGGTTCGAAAAACTATGGTTGAAAATATCAATTTCTGAGGAAGTAGTAGAAAACTGACATTTTCATAGATTGTGGATCACTTCGTTGTTGAAAATGAACTTAAACAATGAAGAAAACCCAAGTATATGATAAAACTTTATTGCAAGACGATATATTTCAGTTGTAACTTTATTTAAATTATTTAATAAAAATCTTGCAAAATTGCGTCCGTTTATGAAATTTATTATATAAAGGAAATTGACTAAGAATGCAATATTGAATAAAAAAAAATTACCATATAAGTCGTAATTCACAATATACGATCAAAATGTTTGCCGTATTTCTCAAAACAAAACCCCTATTTTATGTTTTAAACTGATTTCCCATGTTTTTAATATTCGGTATTAATTTTGTCTATGTTTGTAATCACCGATTATGTTTAGTTGGTGTTTACCTGGCCCATATTTTTTATTTTTCAATATACATCCCTTAGAAATGTGTCGAGATATTTTCTATATTGATGAAGTCTATATAAACAACAGAGGGATTCAAAAGTAAACAACGGCTATATTATGCAACAAGTTTTGGGTGGTTTATTCACGAGTTATCTACGACAATTAGTTGCAAATATTTTTTTAAGAGTCCTTTGATTAAAATTAAAGAAGATTAATTAAGTTTAGCGGCTTTCGTTTTTACTTACCTTTGACTTCGGTATAATTTTTTTTTTTGGATTTCCAGACGGGTAGTGAAATGACTTTTCTTCACGCATTTTTTTTTCAAACTTATAACTGTGTTGAAGAATCTTCAAAGAACTTCTAGAATGATTTCAAGTGAATTTTTAAATAGTGCGTGCCATAATATATTCATATCTAGGAATTTTGTTATTCTGTACAAGTATTCTCTGCTCCACCAAATCACAGACAATTATTTTAAATAAAATTTTTTACTCCCTTCTCGATCGAGTCTGCGGAAATTGTCATTTTACGACGTCAGTTCCCTTGCCTACGGATCTGAATCACTTCGGAAATTTCCGGGATATTACTCTCGGAGTGATCGGATGTTTTCGGAGTCAAGAAATTATTAAATACTCGCTCTACTCGTGACTTAAATGTCAATCAAACTTGTAGAATAATATACGATTAAAATACAATAACGTGCAAATGTGCTGT